TTCTTCCACTTCCACTTCCACTTCCTTGTGCCTGGCGCTAGGTACTTGCGAACGGGTACTTGTCGGGCTTGCTCACATACATACCTAGGTAGTAATAGCAAGTAGGTATCGTCAAGGTTGGCATTCGCATCTGTTCGCTTGCCAGGGTCCTCCTTACGTATGTGCTTTATAGATGGGGATTCGAGTTGATGACATGTGCAGTGCGTCAATGTCATGTTCGTTTTGCATTGATGATTGCCCACGTAACGTCGATGTACTGTACCTGGAGGATTGCCAACTTGACTTGGAAAGACGGACAGACAAACAACAGACAGACAACACACACACACCCGACCCGACGCTTTCCCCCGCCCCCTCGATGCCCACTTCGGCCAGCGGCTACCTGGGTAAGCTTAGCGGACCTTGTAGGCTGCTGGAAGTACTCGTACCGGTGTTGGCAGGGATCAGTGTCCGAGCTACGGTGTACTGATACACGCGGCTGTTTTTCCAAGGGGGCGTGGCTTAGGACTTTCGCCAGCGTTACCTGCTAGCGCGGTGCGGTGCCAGCCAGTAGGGCAGTCGGGGCAGTCGACCTGCCTAAGCCAGTGGGGACATCGGGGCATGTATAGCGCCGTACGGATATAGGTGGACAGGTACATCCAGGCGTGGCAGGCGTGGCAGGCGAGAGAGGCAGCTAAACGGGTTGCGTAGGTTAGCGCTTTGACGCTAGGGGCCCACTGTGCCGTGATGGGCTTCTGGGCCGGCACTGGTCGGGCGCTGGCGAGCTTGGTTCCTGGACGGACGGTTTGGGCGACCGCAAGTGGGCTGTCTTGTCTGTCCACCCTCGCCCACTGCCCACTGCCCACTACTGCTAGACTCCCAGCCAGCCAACCAACTCTGCCTGTCGTCTCCGTCCGTCGTACCCTCATCGTCCTCCGTGAACACTGAACACCGCACACTGGCCCATACTCGCTCGTAGACCTCCAACTCCAACTCCAATAACCTCCGACAGACACACTTCGATCCATTCAACACGTGCAACAACTGCTCCCCATCCATCGTCATCGTCGCCTCCCTGACGCACGCTTCCGAACCCGCTGCATCGAGTCGCATCTGCACCCCCTCGCCCTTCACCGGCTCCTGTCGACGAGAGGTATACTCGTATCTGCAAGTGTCATTGCAGCGAGCCGAGCCGCCCTTTGCTTAAGTACGAGCACGAGTACTGGCTTTGCATCTCTACACTGTAGCGCTGCTCTCTGAGAGACTCTATTCCTACGTCGTCACATCACTACGTTGCTGCACTCTCGCGCCATCCCGACCCACGTCGTCTTGCTTTGCTTCACCGAAGCCGTACCAGAGAGCTGCGAGCCGGTTCGTGTGAGCATGTGTCTGGGTGTGTGAGTGGGAGACTCAGATATACGGACCGACCAACAGCCAAGCCAGACAAAACAGACGGGCAATATACAGGGTCCACATCAACGGCAGACCGGCACGAGCCGAGACCAGTGCGAGTCCGACGAGTGAGAGAGTGAGAAAGAGAGAGTGATACGGGGAAGCAAGAGAGACACAACGAGGGACCACCTGGGTCTCGAGCAACTATTAATCACAAGCGAAGATGAATTTCGACTCAGGCACGGCCTACGCCGAGTCTGACGCCGACGACGAGTATGAGCGCAGCCTGCACACCAGCTCACCCATCCTGGCCACTGATTCGGAGATATCACCAACCGATTCCGAAGGCCTTTCCTCCGCCGAGCACACCCCGACTACTTACGCCCATCGGAGGGGTCCCGACCGTCTCCCCGAGGCCATCATCCCCGAATGGTCCGCCGACGAATGTGCCGATTTCATTGCCTCCATCGGCCTCAAGCAGTACTCCGAAGGCTTCCTGGGTGCGTGCCATTCAATATTCCCCTCGTCCCCCTCTGCACCTTTCCTCTTTTATCGTTTGGGCTTAAGCTAACATGCATATTTTGCTTCCTATAGAAAATGAGATTGTCGGCGAGGCTCTTGTCGCTCTACTCCATGACGACCTCAAGTCCATGGGCGTGGCCAGTGTCGGTCACCGCCTCACCATCCTCAAGAGCGTTTACGACATAAAGAAAGCTCAAGACATCCCCATTGAGAGCGATCACTACGTTCCTTTATGTGTGTACTCCCGTGTCCCTTCAACTCACTGCCTCACTGCACGGAACTCCAAACTGATCAGTGCCCCTCCGTTCGAACACAGCCGCCGATGCCGAAGCTCAATACGCCACGGCCACATTAAAAGACGTCAAGCAACTCGTCGACCAATTACGATTGCGTGATGAGAGGATAAGTCTAGTTGAGCGGGAACTGCGCCAGTTGAGCGACGACTTCCGCCGGTTGCGCGAAGACATGTTACCGGCACTGCGCCTAGCCAAACCACTGCCTAACGTCGCCGGCAACAACCAGAACTACAGCGGCTACGAGACCTCGATATCATCCCCCGCCCCGCCCTCGGCCTCGACAGCCTCCTCGGGCGGCGGCATGAAGCGGACGTACTCGACAAAGAAGCTCGTCCTTGGCAGCAACTCACCGAGCCATCTACAAACGACGCACGAGCGGCCCTCGGTAGAACAGACATTAGATCCAGCCGGCGCCGCCGAACGGGCCGTGCTGTCCTCCTCCCACCTCAATGCGACGAACGGGTCGAACCAGTCGATCTCGCCGAGCTACTCACCCAACATACCGTCACCCACATCACCTCCGACACTAAACAACACCCTAAGCGGCACCACGCTCGGGTCGCGCAGTTATAATCAGTCCACGCCCTCGACGCGGTCAACGTTCCCCGAGAACGACCACGGCGGTCTTGGTAGCGGTGGTCCCGGTAGCGGAGGAGGCTACAACAAACAACAACAGCAGGGGATAGCGCCGCGGCGGATGCAGACACCCGTGCCCGAGACGCCGGGATCGGGAGGGTCGAGCGTGGAGATCTTCAAGAGCTTCCGGGTTTCTATGGACGACCCGTGCCATAAAGTGTTACCAGCGGCCCTCAAAAAATACCAGATCAACGCCCCCTGGGACCAGTACGCGCTGTATATTGTCTACGGTGACCAGGAAAGGTGTTTAGGTCTGGAAGAGAAGCCTCTGATATTGTTCAAGCAGCTGGATAAGGAAGGAAAGAAACCGATGTTCATGCTGAGGAAGACGAATACAGCGCAGAATGATGGCGAGGCGCCGGGGAGCGCGGGGTTGGGGATGGGTGCTGCGGGAGGGGGCAGGGGGCCGGCGGGTATGGGGTATGCGGATCCGCCGGGGGGGATTATATAAAATGGGATGGGATAGGGGTTGGGGGTTAGGGGGGAGGGGGAGGAGAGGGGAGGAGAGGGGAGGAGAGGGGATGAGTTGAGATTTGATGAGGAGATGAGAGGGGATGAGTTAATAGGGAGTTGAGGGTTGGAGAGATAATAAGGGGTTGTGAGGGTGGTGTACACAAGTCATGTTAAACCAAGGAGAGGGAAAGCAAGCGATAATTGAATGCAGTTGTGGTGGGATATGATGGATTCATGTAAGGAAAATGAAAAGGGAAGGGGAAAGGGAAGGGGGGGGGGGGCGGTATTGACTCTCCCTCGCTCGCCTGATCCAACAGGGAAGCGGGAAGAGAGACATGGTGCCTCGGACTTGGGATCTCTATGGCTACATTGGCGTCGGGGGGGTGCGGCAAGGAAAGGAAAGGAATCTGCTTTGCTTCTGGTTGCATAGCGTGTATAGCGTGCGTGCGAGCAAAGCAAAAACTATCCTTGTGCTGAGATATCTGATCTGGTAGGTTTAGGTACTTACTTACTTACTTATATGTTATCGATCTATCTGTGTATCTATATGTCTGTGTACCAGCCAGCCAGCCTGTCAGATCATGTGGGCTATGATGTTGGTGTTAATAGCGATGGTGTTAGTATGTATTTACATATGTGTACATGTATATGATTGAAACTTATGGATGAAATATGCTGTGACGGCGCAAATTTGTGATGGGTTACGATGTGATTTGTCTGCTGTTTATCTGGTGTCATGAGGGGGGATTTTGTTGCTGTTGTTATCCCCCCTGATTGTGAATAGAATTGGGTTGAACTTCGCTTCGTGATGTGTCGTGTCAGATTCGTGTGTGCGTGAGCACCTACGAAATGAATAGGTAGGTACTTAAGCTATCTCCTCGTCAAGCTGGGAAAGTTGCCTGCGACCTTCATGTCAGGTGGGAGTTGCTCCTTGGGCATCTGATATCAGTTATAGTAGATGTGCACTATATACATACATGTAGCCAGACGTGCTGTCCAAGGAGGATCGATCTTCCTTCATCTCTCTCCCTCCTTCCTAGTCGTATGGGAGTTGGAGGACTTCTTATCTGAGTTTCTCTTTTCTTTTCTTGTAGCATGACATGACACAGCGTATCTCTCGAATTCTTCCACTCGCTCGCTCACTTACTCATGGACACGAAGTCATGAACGTGAACGCGAATAGCTCGCTCAAGCTGTCCGTCTATCTGTCTTTCATGAAGTCAAGGATTGCGACAAGGGGTTGGTTGCCCTCAAATTCGGCATTGCTCCCCTGGATCCTAGCTCCCTCATGATTGATCCTTTCCTGGGGATTTGATTCAATCAGTTGCCTATCTCTACCTATGTAGGTAGGCATTGTGCTGCTTGTATTACTGCCCGGTTATCTCCATAGTTTGTTTGTTGATTGAATCTCTGCTCTGCTACTTACGATTTGCCATTGCCTGCGTCTTGCTTCGATTTTCGGGTCGGGTTTCGGATTCCTGAGGTTGAGGTGCTGACCTTGGGGCACGGCAAGTGGTTACCTCGCTAGTCTAGGTAGTATAATATTAGCTGAACTGTGTTGGGAGCTTGATGTTTCTGCTTGCTTAGGTAGGTACTTTGGCAGCTTGTTGAACCTCGGATGGGGGGTTGGGGAGAGGTGATTAGGTAACGAGCGGATTAACCACTCACGTCAATATTGGCTTTTTGCTTTCAAGTTATCAAACATACTCGATACAGCAGAAGCCCTTGATAGCTCAGTTGGCAGAGCGATGGACTGTAATTGATATTAAAAAACACTTGTTATCCACAGGTCGCCGGTTCAAATCCGGCTCGAGGGAACATTTTTTATATTTTGCTTCCCCTTATTTCGAGCTGCCTATTGTTTTTATATATTATCTTTCTATATATATTTACTAACTTTATTTTTCTTAAAAGCATATAGTAGCTATGATTTAAAAGCTTATGCTAGGTGTTTATTTTAATTATTATTTCTTATTCTTATTTTTTGATTTCTTATATCTTAAACTTCTCTCCTATTATGGCTGACCTGCTTCATGACAGGCCAGGCATTAATAGTAGTCTCTATGCACACTATCTAAACACTCTAGTTCTGAGTAGATGGACATGAGCATGAAGCCGCTGGATCTGGACCAGAGCCCTTCCATGGCGACAGCAGTTTGGCAAGACTACACTAGTGCTGGCTTTGAGCAGAACATTGATGCTATCATCATCAATGAGGTATTGCCTTGGTCAACTATCTAGCTGTTGTGATGCAGCCCATTAGGTAGGTCGAGTGGGCAGATAGGTCAGACCCAGGAGAAAGGGGTGATGGATGGGAGATAACTAGCTGTGCAGACACTAGTTCTATCCTTCCAGATCATCTGGAAATGGGAACAGTTTGAATGTCGCATTGGCATGTTCCTCAACTTGAATAATTGCGACCAGGAGGACTGTGTAGTAAGCCATGCTGCACGATTCCCCTTTTTGAAGCTGGGAACAACATCTTCCATGCAGAGGCATATCCCACAAGAAAAATATTGGACTAGGGAACAAAAAGATAACAGCCTCAGTGGCTCAGTATTGCACCAAAAGCTGAAAGCCTGACAGAGATCAACAACAACTCAGCATACACTTTGACAGCTTTCTAGCGCTCTTGTAGACTGTAATTGCTTGAAAATGTACATATTCAGGCCCAGGTAGGTCCGTGCGTTGTTAAGATATGCCACAGCAACCACCATGTTTGATTGAGGCAGTGGGAAGCAATAACAATGCTGGCCTTTGACTCATGTTCAACCGATATGTTCTGTATGCAATATGTGACCGATTATATGGAAAGCGCTGCGAGATATTGAACAATACTACTGTGCTAGGACATCAACTCCTGCCAGGAGTCTCCTGGTATACTGGCCAATGTTTTTTCAAAGCCGGAGTTATAACTTATGGAACACATGGTTGTGCATTTCACTGTGCAGATTAGCTACTATTGAGCCACATAGTTGTTGGGACTCCGTTATCGTGGTAAACATAAACTTGTGTGATCCCGTGCGAAGAACGTGATCGAACTGTTTGCCCAAAAGATATGCTGTGTTGCAGCCGTCCCGGTATAATGTGAAGCTGATCAGTATTGCAGGACATATCAAAGTATATACACACCTTCTGCATATATTCTTAAGTTGAATCTCATATTGATGATCCTAGGTATGCGAGTGCACACAGAAAGCTCCGTGCTAGGAGATCCATGAGCCGTGGAGGTCAGGCAATACGTTTACTACAATCCGATGTTCATCTATCGACTCGTTATACGGAAGGCTGCTGTGACTCAAGGTACATCAGTACATCCCGTGCTTGCCTAGTAGCATTGGTGTCTGGAAATGTCAATACCAGTAACAACGGGACCGACCTGGCAGAGTGGTTTGCTCTACGTACCTCATCTGCTGTCCTCCTCTTCCCAGTCTCCCACTGTTTGTTTACCTTCCTGCCTCTCTACCTCTGCTACTCCTCTACCTCCCACCTCGGCTGACTGCCAGTCTGCCACTCTTCTTCCTACCTCTCTCATCCACTTCCACCTCCGCCTCCGCCTCCAATTCTTCAACACTCCGTGGCCCTACTTCCGTCCTTCTGTGACAAACCTTTCTCTCTTTACTCACTTTCCGTGCCTCAATCATGTTGCACCGTCTCATTGAATGAAAGACTGTAAGGCTGACACTCCCTTTCCTGTGGCATCGCCTACATACAACTCCAACTGCAACCGTTGAACAGCCATACCATATATACCAAGGTCCAACGTCCAAGATAGCAGACCTGGCTCCGGTCGCACAATCATATCCTGTTCTTGCAACCGGTTTTCTCAAGGTCTGTCTGGGTTTCACTGCAACAGTTGAACAGCCATATCATATACCTATACCAAGGTCGAAGGTCGAAGGTCCAAAATAGCCCGACCCAGTTCCGGTCGCACAATCACACCCCATTCCTGCAACCAAGCATTCGATTGATCAGTCGGAATCATCATGAAGTCTCCTCGCAGAAGCCTGCCTAGAGTTGCCAAATCTGAGGCAACCTCTAAGCTGGTGGATTTGTATACTCCCAAGAAGAAAGGCAGCAAGCCCGCAGAGGATTCCCAGCCAATCAACGTCAGCACGGCTGGTCAGGAAGCAGCTCAGCTGCAGCCAGCCACAGCCACATTCGATGGAGATGCATTGGATGCCGCTGTGGCTCAGTTCGAGGCTCAGCAGTCGGGCTGGGCTTGGCAGCAGGAGCTGCAGCCACCAATGCTAATGCCGCCCATGGCTATGGCCTGGGAGGACGCGAGTGGCCCGGGCTTCCCTGCTGGCGCTGAGCCTGGCGCCTCAGGTGCCGCAAGCGTTGCGCATCACCACCAAGGACAAGAGCTCGAACAGCTGCAAGACTACCAACAGTCTCACTACCCACAGCATCACCGACACCACTCCAGCCAAAATCCCGATCAAGACCAAGTCTACGAGCACCACCAAGGCAATTTTGGGTCTCCTATAATAATCACTAGCTCTCCTCCCCCTGTCCAGCGACGCCCCCCGCCAAAGAAGGCAAAGAAGCCCGTCCGCATCAGCGTGCGAATTCGTGACAAGATGCAGATCGAAGTAAGTCGCCCACCCCGTGCGCCTGACCCTATACTCTGTTGCTAGATGGACTCTTATATTCCACCTATTCCACCTATTTGGCATAACCGTGCCATAATGGCGCAATACACTACACCACCGTCATGCCACGCCAGACGCGTTGTGCACGACGCGCCACCGGCGTTGTACAACCGCCGTTATCTACACGTTATCTATCTACAACTTTCTTCAAAAGGGGTCGCTGACTGGAATGGCACCATGCCCTCTTTTGGCGTGAGCATGCCGTCCAATTGCTAACTGTGTGGCTCTTCAGCGCAAGGTTCGGCTCGTTACCGAGCAGAAAAACATGTACGCCGCCCTCACGACCCCTCCGCAGTCTTACGCGTCCAAGATACCGAGATACTGACAATGGCACCCGCTTGCGCAGCCCCAAGGAGTCGCCAGTCCCCGAATTCCCCATGAAAGAGTGGAATGTCAAACTATATTTACTCGACCAAGATGGAAAACAACACCCCGCCACCGTCTTCAATAGGGTCGTCTACAACCTCCATCCCTCGTTCGAGGAGCCTCATCAGAGTGAGTCCACCCATACCGCGAGCCTATTGCAGGCCGGTCTGCGTTCCATCGCACCACATGCACCGAGCTCGCGTTGCTGACTGCCATCTACCCGCTGCCAGCATTCAGCGAAGCCCCCTTCACCTGCACAAACGAGGGCTGGGGAGAGTTCGAGATGTCCATCGACATGTACTACACCGAGAAGACCAAGGTGACCGTCTTCCACGACTTGAACTTCCAGTCGCCCGAGTACACCAACGACCAGACTGTCGTCTTCAAGAACCCTTCGCAGTCGCTCGTCCAGGCTCTGCGCGAGACCGGGCCCGTGGGCAACGAGGACGACGCCAAGGCGAACAAGGCGCGCAAGGCTGGCGACAGCAAAAAGAGGAAGTATGCGTTCGACTACGAAAAGATCGGCGATGCGCTGGTCAAGCTCAACGAGGACGACCTGCTGCACGTGATCCAGATGATACACGACAACAAGACCGAGGACACTGTTACGAACAACGACCTCGAGCGCGGCGAGTTCACCGTGGATCTGTTCACCATGCCTGAGCCCCTTACCAAGATGATCTGGGATTTCCTCGTAGGTCTACTCCTGCTCTCGACATGTGTTCCTTGCTATCGAATGTCATGGCATTAACCTGCCTATACTTCGTCGACGCTCGCCTTTTCACTGCTAACCGCTCTCATTTTAGGTGGAGCAAAAGATAATCGTTGTGTAAGAGGGAGAGAGAGCTAGCTATGCGCAGAAAAGCAATTACAGAGCGATGAGACAGACAGCGGCGTACGGCAGACCAGTAGACGGCGCACGGAGTCAGCGGTGAGGGGTTCTCTTCTGTATTTGAAATCCCTACGAGGAACCACCAGCATTGCATTGGCGTTATTATTTGGGGGGCGGCTATACCAGCCAAATTTCGGACATCGATGGGCAAGGCGAGGCTCTGGACAACTCTGGCGTCACGGTTTGCGTTTTCTGACGCATGTGTAATACAACAAAAAACGAATGATATGTAGCATAGCGTTCGATCTTGTCGTTGCGAACGTATAGCCAACCTATAGACTACGTGTAAATAGGGGCTATATGAGCAATACACAAGCAGAGGATCAACACTGATAGTGCTCTACCTACTCCAAAGGGCGCTTTCATTTATTTTTCGCACTACGGGTCATGTTCAACCCTTCGTAGGAGATGACTCTTCTTCAAAAGTGGTGGGTATGGTCTCCTGTGTCCCAGGTTCATGCACGCAAGGGGTTTCAGCCTCAGGCTGGAATAAAAGTTTTTGCGTACTTCTCATGATGATGTACGTTGCACAGGTAGCCTAGGGTTTGTCTGTACTTGAGGGTCTGGTATACATCTCTTGCCCGCGTAAGCATCGAAGTGGCCGATGTATTACATGTATTGTGTAGCAGGCATGTGACGCGACAAAACGAAACATGTCGACGATACACGAAGCTGTCGGCCTACCTAGGTATGTCTAGCGATATCGCCGAGCCTACAGATGTATGGTTCGGCTCCGGGACCTTCACCGTACCAATGAACCGGTGACAGAGTTACACAGGACCAGTCATGTGGTATCGCAAATTCATTCGATCCGGAGCTTCGCCACAATCCTCACTCAAAGCAAAGTACACGATACAAATCGGGCAGCCCGCCGAGCGCACAGGCCGGAAAGAGGTCCTATCGC